GGTCTCTCTCTCTGTGCGCGTCTCGGTCTCTCTCTCTGTGCGCGTCTCGGTCTCTCTCTCTGTGCGTCTCGGTCTCTCTCTCTGTGCGTCTCGGTCTCTCTCTCTCTCTGTGGTCTCTCTCTCTCTCTGTGCGTCTCGGTCTCTCTCTCTCTGTGCGTCTCGGTCTCTCTCTCTCTGTGCGTCTCTGTCTCTGTGTGTGTGTGTCTCTCTCTGTCTCTGTGTGTGTGTCTCTCTCTGTGTCTCTGTGTGTGTGTGTCTCTGTCTCTCTCTCTCTATGTGTCTGTCTCTGCGTATCTGTGTGTGTGCGTCTCTGTGTCCCTCTCTCTCTGTGTCCCTGTGTCTCCGTCTGTCTCTCTGCCTGTCTCTATCTGTGTCTCTATATCTCTGTGTGTGTGTGTCTCTGTATCTCTGTCCCTGTCTGTGTGTCTCTGTCTCTCTGTGTGTGTCTGTCTCTCTGCGTCTCTGTGTCTGTGTCGCTGTGTGTCTGTGTGTCTCTGTCTGTGTCTATCTGTGCCTCTGTGTGTGTGTCTCCATCTCTCTGTGCGTTGGCTCCGTCTCAAACAGGAGGACGACTCACTTCAGCGTCTTGTATTTAGTGCAGACGTTGCATCGGACCTGCTGCCCTCTGACCTCCAGCGGGTTCATGCTGTAGTACTTCTCCATCATCTCTGCTTCTCGGGGGGACGACAGCTGAATGAACCCCTGAGCACAAGAGCACAAGGACACGGACTTCAGAACCTGCCACTATTTTCTGAACAGAATCGCAATTGTGATGCAAGATTAAAAACGTCCTACATTCTGCAAATATGACTCTTGTAAAGCTTTAAGTCGTGTTATAATGTTGTTACCTCCTCAAACGCAAACCTGGAGATGTGTTTTGTTTCATTCACACATGTGTAACCCTTTATTATTAGTCGGTCTAAAGCTCTAAAAGCTCAAAATGCTCTGTTCAACCTTGTGACGTCAGTGTTAGTTTTCAAGTTACCGGCTCCTTTTAACTTTTACTTAGTAGAAATTGGCAATTCCAGGGCTGAAATTATCCAAATGATTCCAGTGAAGGTGTTTGGAGTGGAGCGCTTTGAACACCTCGTGACGTAATGCGGTTTCTATTGGAGAGAAGAACTAAATATGGAGGGTTTGTGGAGGAATGATGGGACTTGTCGCGGTTCAAGAATTTCCCTTGCAGTAACTTTATGCGTCTCTGGACTGGCCCATAACAACACACGTGCACTGGGGCTGTATTTGAAAAATATCTATATAAAACCACAGCCAGGCCTCAGTGACACACATGTGCATTTGCTCGTGAAGTGTAATACAGTTTTACAGACGAGTTACAAGAATATATTATTAGGATCCTCGAGTGAGTAACAAGTAAAGCCCGTACACCCACAGAAAACCCACAGAGGCGCCTGCAGGGGTACGAGCTGTAAAACGAAGGGTGACTTTAACACATTACCCAAACAAAACCGTGTGTTTCCAAGTTTTAATATGCACAGGTTCGGGTCGCAGTATTTAAAATCATTTGCTCAGAGGCCCGTAAACATGAATTGGTTCATAGTAGGATAGGAAAATTCTACGGAGCGTGTGCATGGAGCCTCATTAAAATGCAAAATGCGGTTACTGCAGTGACCTGAACCCTCATACCGCGGTAGGGTTTGGTGGTATCCAAATTTTGATATTGTTAAACCTTCTCAGGATTTTACCAGGGTATATACGGCATTTTTGTATTACCAAAATGTTTTAGTACGACTTTGGTAAGCTACGAAGCCGCATCACTGTACAGTCTATGCGTATGACCTGCAGACTTAAGGTTGAAGTATTTTTCTGCGTCGACTCAACGCGCACTGCAGCCGTCGCCTTGTCACCGTCGTTTTTGATTTATGGATCTGCGTCGAGGTCTGTGCACCGCGAAGTAATTCACTGCCAAAATGGTAGGGGGCGACGATATCTGTCCATTCATATATACGTGTATATATCTGTGTGTACGACCCGCAGACATATAATCTCTGAAAAGTTTAATATGAACCATCTCTAATGCAATAAAGGCACAGAACAAACTCACCATTAGTACAATATTCCTCTGTCACAGAAAGAACACTCATATTCCACTGAGTCGTGTCCTTTTTAAGTCCGACAGAAGCTGACCACGTACCAGGAGCGAGCTGTTTTTTGAGCGCTTAGTTTATGCAAGTTAGCCATGCGGTTTTAAGTTTCGTTTCTGTAAAACGTAAACACATATGTGTAAAGCTGCACTAAACACATTATTTCTCAATATATATTGAAAGAAAGAAAAGTCGACAGGAAATGTCTGTAGTGCGGTGGTACGGAGGACCAATCACAGCTCTTATCGTCTGCGTCGCTTCCCCTGCTGTCTACGGTGTTTTGACGCGTAGTTAGAAAATTTCGGAGGTGCACGTTGGTCAACGCAGAGGCTCTGTGTAGGGGGTACGCGTCGACGCAGACTCTCTCGTGACGCAGACGATTTAACGCTGGACCGTAAATTGGCCTTTATAATCTGAAGCGTTTCACATGAACCATCTCCAACACGACACACGCACAGAACAGACTCACCATCAGCAGCACATCCTCTGTCACAGAAAGAACACTCATATTCCACTAGAAACTGAACCGCATCAGAGCACAAGGAGCGAGCCGTTTTTATCACCGCTTTATAGTTCATGCAAATGAGCCAAGTAGTTTTAAGTTTTGTTTCTGTAAAACGTAAATAAATGTGCGCCTAAAGCCAAAATGCTGCCGAATTGCAGAAGTACTAGTATTTTTGGGGAGGAAAGACCAACGCTTGCGGCCGGACTTGCCATCTTGTCTTGGTCTCCCTTATGAAGGTCACGTGACAACGGAACGAAACTAATCGGACGTCATCTCCCCGCGCAGTTAAAAGAAACATTATAAACACTATTAGTTTTAAATTGTGACAGCATTAAATTGAAAATACAACCACACATTTATTTGTGCCGAGCAAACAAATTTAGGTATCACTAAATTATAATATTATATGAGGTCCTTACGCGTGGCAGATTTTTTAAAATGACAGTAATGAAACGGATACTGTTGGTACTTTTTGATACCGCGGGATACTGTAATACTGTATTACTGCCCAACCCTTTACCGTGATATTGCAATATTGTCGTTACTGCTACAACCCTGTTTAATGATACAAAACAACTCCAGTTATGTTTATGATGAGGAAGAAACATTATAACAAAGATCAGAATAATGTAATATAGGTCCTTTCATAGTATGATTCTGTTCAGTAAGAATATGCCAAACGCAGCAGGAGTGTTAACATTTCTGTGGGTGTTTTATGAAAGTTCTCTGCTAATAACCACATCTAATCTTGGCGGTCTAGTACAGTGTTGTGGGAGTTTGAGGAAAGTCTTTCAGCGTCTTTCACCTCTTTCTGTAGGAACAGGTGCTTCTCCACGGTGCCAAACCTCCCTGCGATGGTGAGCAGGTCCTTCTTCTTCTCTTCCTCTCGGGGCAGGTTGGAGAAGTACACCACCTGGCTGACCCCGGGGGTTTCGTCCCCCGTGAACCGTTTGCGGTTCATGCTGCGCTCCACTGGTCTGGGGGGCGGCTGAGCAGACTGGGTCTTCTGCACAGAGAGGAGGCTCCAGTCAAACTACTACTACAGTCTTTAGGTCAGGATGAAGCTGCTCTGGTTTAGATGAACAAAAATCCCTGTATCATTTGTTCATTTGTTTTTCAAAATAAAACCAAAAATAAGAAAACAAAAACACAACTATTTTGTTCATTATTTGTCTCCAAAACCAAAATGAAAAACAGATAAGTCGTTTTTCAGTTTTCGATTTTGTGTTTAAACGAATAATGGGAAAAAAAAATGATAATGGCCATTTCCCTGTTTCCTGTGACTTAAACTGGGATGCCAAACTGAACCAGGATTAACCAGGACTAAACCAGGACCAAGATTAGTCCTGGTTCAGTTCTGGTATAGACCTGCGTCCTGGTCTCAGTCCCGGTCTCAGTCCCGGTCTCAGTCCCGGTCTCAGTCCCGGTCTCAGTCCCGGTCTCAGTCCCGGTCTCAGTCCCGGTCTCAGTCCCGGTCTCAGTCCGGCATCGCAGTTTAAATGGCCGGTCATTTTTTTGGTTTTGGATACAAATAATGAAGAAAATAGTTGCTTCTTCGTTTTTATTATTTTTGGTTTTATTTTGAAAACTAATAAATGAATGATACACGGATTCACAAACACTTGTACATATAAATGGACATAGCTAACCTGTTCTAAATAGGAACAGTTTCCAATTGACTAACACTGAAAAATTGTCACTCCTCCCTATGAAACCGCTGCAGTGAGCCTCATCATTTTTATATTAAAATGTATTATCAATGTTTTGTCTAAATAAATTCCTGTTGCTAATATGGCTCTGGTTTTACATTTTTAATCAGATGTTTTTGGAGCATTTATTATATTAAATATTCAAATCTCTTTTGTATTCGGTCTGAAGTATGTACCTCTATGAACAGTCGTTTGGACAGCTCAAACACCAGGGGGCGCCCTCCTAAAGTCGCAGGATTCTGTTGGTAATAGTTGACCACGTCCAGAGCCTCATCGTGGGTGCTCATCTCCAGGAAGCCCTGAGGAGGCAACACAGAAATGAGTATTTGTGACTGTTACAACTGTACTTCTAGAGTACTTTACACAAGCAGTGATGATAATTTCAGTTTCTTGAGTAGTCCTACTACTGTGTAGTAGCAGTACCTTTCTGTTAAAGTGTTCAGAATACCTCCTGTACACTGAAAACTATTAGTATGGCAGAAGTAGCAACAGCGATAATATTACTACTTCATGAACAGCAGTAATAGTTGCACTTTGTTCTGAGTACAGTGTCCTTAGTACAAGTACTAGGAGCAGTTGTTGAAGTAGCAGTAGTGGTAGTAGTTGTGGTTGAAGTAGTACCTTGAGCAGAGAATGCTTGGAGCACAGTGGCATTAGCAGTAATAGTAGTAGTTGTGGTAAAGGTAAAAGCAGTCGTAGTGGTAGACGTAGGGGTAGAAGTAAAAGCAGAAGTAGTAGTAGTGGTAGAGGTAGTAGTAGAGGTAGAAGTAGTAGAGGTAGTAGTGGTAGTGGCAGATGTAATGGTAAAAGTAGTGGTAGTAGTAGTGGTAGGAGGTAGAAGGAGTGGTAGAAGTATAAGTAGAGGGAGTGGTAGAAGTAGTGGTAGTAATGGCAGAAGTAGTGGTAGAGGTAGTAGTAGTGGTAGAAGTAATAGTAGTAGTAGAAGTAGTGGCAGAAGTAATGGTAGTGGTAGTGGTAGAGCTAAAAGTAGTGATAGTATCTTGTTCTTGAGCAGTGATTGCTTCGAACACAATGGCATTAGTAGTAGTAGTAGCAGTAGCAGTAGCAGTAGTAGTAGTAGTAGTAGTAGCAGTAGTAGTAGTAGTAGTAGTAGTAGTAGTAGTAGCAGTAGTAGTAGTACCTTGTTCTTGAGCAGCAGGTGTTCTCTTAATCGTCCAAACGGCTCGACAAAGTTGAACAGAGATTTGTCGCTCAGAGGTTTTCGGTCGTACTTCACCACCACCACTCGAGCTCTCTGAACAACAAACACATCATCATCATCATCACCTTTACCTTTACCTTTACCACACGCAACGAGCTCGAGGACTGAGTCTGTGTTTCACATACTGACCGTGTTCTGCCCCTGTGTGTTCTTCTGAGCCATTCCAGCGCCCCCTCCTGGCAAAAACACGGAAAAACACATCATCACGTTTTATTAATACTACATTTATCAAATTTAAGTCTCAAAAATCACCTAAATTCAGGTTATTATTGTAGATCATTTGTACGTTATGCAACATACCACTTGTAAAAAGGCCAAAATACAACGTAAGGGTTCTTCTCTCAAAAGGAAAACACACTGTTCCACCTTGTGATGTCATGTGATAATACAGGAAGTGCTCCAATGTGTTTTTAAACTCCACACACCTTCACTAGAATCATCTGGATGATTTCAGCTCTGGAATTTTCAATGGCCACGTTTACATGATGTTTTATAATTCCAAATTAATTGTTTTGAATTAAAATATTCTCCTTCGAGTTTACATGGAAATAATAATTCCGAAACACATTAAATCGCCTTTATTTAATTTAAGAAGAATAAATGTTTACATGAATGAGCAATAAATTTATTCGTCTTTAAAATCGGAATAAACCACCCACTTTTAGTTTAATTCCGAATAATAATTTTGTTAATTAAAAAAAAGTGTTTACATGGTCTTTTTAAAGCAGAATTGATTTTTATTTAGAATTAAGTTATTTTTAATTCAGACTTAAAGCTCTCATGTAAACGTGGCAAATGTCCACTGAAGTAAAGGTAAAAGGAACTGTTGGCTTGAAAACTACCACTTCATGACATCACAAGTTGGAACAGAGCATTTTCAGCTTCAGAGATGTAGACAGACTAATAATAAAGTTACTCAAACGTGTGAGAGAAAAACAAAACACAACTCAGGTCTGTTTTTTTTTACGAGGAAACAACATTCTAACATGGCTTAAAGCTCACAAGAGTCAATTTTGTGTAATATAGGAGCTTTAAATGTATAAAAAATAATAATTAGAAACAAAATTAGAGCAGAAGGACTTACCCCAGCGTGAGGAAAGTCCTGAAGTCTGGCCGGACAGAGGAGCAGGTCCCAGAATCCCGTCCGAGAGGTTTGGAGCGTCCATGCCCCGACTGAGAGCGGAGATCAGGGAATATGAGTAAAAAATAAACTCTTATAGTGCCTTAAATTACACTCACACACCTCACCGTTCACGACAGACAAAAACACAAATAACACACAAATAATTGATACTTTGCAGCTGATGTCGTTAACAAATCTCTGGGGGTGTGAAACCAACTGGAAGCACTACTTAGATGTTCTGTTACTCAAATTATACTTAATTTTGCCATTATTTTAACATAATCTGCACAGAAAACTTAATCTTAATATAAACTTACTGTCATGTGTGCTGTTTATATTTGTTTTTATTTTTTTCTGGGGTTTTCAGACAATATTCAAATGTTTTTGTCTGTGTTTGCTAATGTGTTCATTGCGTAACTGCATGTAGAACACCCCCAGCGCGATGTCACTGCAGAGAATCAATAGAGTAAACAGAGTAAAGTCAAATAAAAATGTGTTTTGTGACCTTCTGTTGGACGACATGGGGGGCTCCCAGTCTGGATACCTGTGAAAGAAGATAAACACAGAGGTGAGACCATGATAAGGTCTAGATAAGGTCTAGATAAGGTCTAAACCTGGTCTAAACCAAGATCTTGCAAAGTCTTAACCAAGGTCTAAACCAGAGCCAGTGTTTAAACCAATTTAAACCAGGTCTAAGCCAAAGTCTGAATCAAAGTCTAAACCAAGATCTTTACGAAAGTCTGAACCAAGGTCTGAACCAAGGTCTGAACCAAGGTCTGAACCAAGGTCTGAACCAAGGTCTGAACTAGCCCCAGGGTGTAAACCAAAGTCTAACCCAAAGTCTGAAATCAAGATCTAAACCAAGGTCTAAATCACAGTTTAAACCAGGGCCTAAACCAGGGGTCTAAACTAAGGTCTAAACCAAGGTCTCTAAACCAGGGTCTAAGCCAAATTCTAAACTATGGTCTAAACCACAGTCTAAACCAGGGTCTAAACCAAAGTCTGAACCAGGGTTTGAACCAAAGTCTGAAACCAAGATCTAAACCAAGGCCTAAACTAAGGTCTAAACCAGGGTCTATATTTATTTATTTATTTATTTTTTATTTATTTGAGACAGGGACAGCGCACAATTTTCACATTAACCGTGACAGGAGAGATGCATTGTACATCAGGTTGTAGCATCAGTGCTAATTTCCACCTGTCGTCCCTGGACAGGTTCATTGATTGATTGTATTTAATTGACCTTTGACTATCAACTGTTCTGGAGACCTGTAGCATGTTTTGGGTTGATGGGGGAAACCGGAGTACCCGGAGGAAACCCATCCAGACACGGGGAGAAACATGCAAACTCCACACAGAAAGGCCCTGGGCGACCTGGGGATCGAACCCAGAACCTTCTTGCTGTGAGGCATGAGTGCTAGCCACTCAGCCACCGTGCCAAGTCTAAACTAGGGCATGGGTGTAAACCAAGGTCTAAACCAAAGTCTGAAACCAAGATCTAAACCAAGGCCTAAACTAAGATCTAAACCAGGGTGTAAACCAAGGTCTAAACCAGCGTCTCGCCAAGTCTAAACTAGGGCCACGGTGTAAACCAAAGTCTGAAACCAAGGTCTATACCAAGGTGTCTAAACCAAAGTGTGAAACCAAAGTCTGAAACCAGGGTATAAACTAAGGTCTAACTAGGTCTACTAAGGTCTGAAACCAAAGTGTGAAACCAAAGTGTGAAACCAAGGTCTAAGACAAGTCTAAACCACTTTAAACCAGGGCCTTACTGGGTCTAAACGTGTCTGGAATGTCAACAATTACACTTTTTAACCACAAGACCAAACTGTTATATTTCTGCCACCCTGGTTAAAAAAAAAAGAAAGAAAAATCTGATATTGGCAGGCCTTTTGTGACCTGACTGGAACATTAAAATAAAATAATCAATGGTGGTAGCCCTATTTGACATTATTTAGCTAAAATTGTAAAACAGAACAACAATCAACATGGTCCTGTCTAAATTAAGGCTCTGTTTACGTTGATATACTCACATGTTAAGCAGGACTCTTCTGTTCTCCGCATGTCTGAGTCCGTTTAGGTGCTGGTTCCACTCCTGAGAGAAACCACAGCTGTTACTACTACACAAGTACAAGAAGTATAAAGTACTGCAGATGTACCCCAGACTGAAAGTACATTTACTGCGAAGCTCCACTGCAGTACTTTATGTCACCTGCTTTGTCGTCCAAGTCACATAAATCATGCGTTTACCTGGAGAGGACTTTCCAATGGTGTTTCAAGCCTGGACCTGGCCCCTAAACGTACTGTAACTGTGTGGAACCTTAAATGAACTGAACCTGGTGGATATCATCAAGACTGCACCCACATATAAAGGCAAAGAGCTCAGGGCTGATAACAGAAAACTGGACTTGAGGGCTTCAAAAAGGTAACCCATATTAGAAGAACTCAGTGAAGACTTCAGCTGAATGGGATTATGGACTGTCCTACTAAACTACAGAATCAGAGGTGAGACAGAAGATCCAAATGAGAGATTCAAGACTTAGTTTGAGGACTAACCCAGGTTGACTGGACAGGTTAACTTTTTATTCTTCTTCAAAGCGTGACTCTCAAAGTACAAAGTGTGGCAAGAGTGTGGGAAAAATATTAAAATAAGGTAGAGCTTTAGGACCCCAATGTATTATAAACAAAGTATGTGGTAAGTAAAAGTGAACTAGTCTTTGACTTTTGAACTCTCCTGTTGCCCTCTCCAACTCCAACGTTTAAATTGGCAGGAGAAGAAAAGGTAAACCTTGACTTTAAGATTATGATAAGTGTCTCATGAAGCTGTTGACGGCCTGATGGAGCTGATGTGGACTCTGGAGTCTGGACTGGACTGTGTTGAATGCACCAAGAGTTTAAAGACAAAAAGAAAAAAGGCAAATCCTGATAAAAGTAAGAGAGGTTGTGAAAATAAGAAATGTTACACAGAAACAAGATTACATTTTATAGAAGTTGCCAGAACCCAGTTTGGGCATGTAAAGAATACAACATATCACCAGAGGCATTGAAACCATGTACAGTTTATGTGGACAAAATCAGATCGTTCTCAGAAAGCTAAGGAATTAAGAAACGGTTCAGTCACTAACAGCTGCTATGATTTTAACAGCTCTGGTTTAGGATTAGGGTCATATGCTAATGGTTATCTCTTTAGGTTAAAAACAGGGAATGGTTAAGGTCAGGATATCAGTTTTTTACTCAGTGACGATTCTCAGGGCATGGCTCTGGAACATCTCTGCCATAACGTGGCCCTAACCTTTTTCTTCCCTTCTTACTTTGTACAGACAAAGGAATCTGTGTCACAACATTAAAACATGAGATACCCAAACTAACTGGGTTCCAAAAGCTTTTGAAAAGACCTGGAAAGCCTAATAAGACTGATGATGCAAGGTTGTCAGAAGAGGTAAAGAAGGGACTTGAGAAGACATTTGCAGTGAGGAGGTACTCACCATGATGGAGTGAACGTCAAAGTCACACAGCAAACACACATGTGGGAAGCGGGCTGGATTCATTCCCAGGAAGTCCTCCACTTTGCCCTGAGACGGCTGCCCCGAGCGCCCCTGCATGAACCCCGCAGAGTCAGAAGGGGGCGACATACCAAAGTCATGACGTTGCTGGGAGAAGTCTCCAGAAGCGGCAAAGTTTCGACCAAAGTTATGGCCCTGAGCGGAGTCCTGGGCATCAGCATGTGGCAGAATTAGAGGAAAGAATGGAGCAGGCTCAGAAATATCTGCTGATGTGTAATTAAGAAGTGTCTTATAATTTATTTTACTGTTGATTCAACCCGAAGCACCTTAAATCTGTGTTGGTTAAGCTGCATTTCCAGAGGGACAGCGGTCGGATGGTGTCAGTTTTATCAAAGCTGTAAAGGACTGTCTGCCTTATAACCTTCTGCAAAGTGGTTTGATTGGTTAGTCCAGGATTTAGTTTGCAGCACGGTATTAAAACAAGCCAAGGATGTGGAGCTTAGGTATTGTGTAGTCCAGTATCGGTCTAACTTCAGACAGGTTTGACCTGAAACATGATCCAGGCATCACAGCTGTACCAGTGGAAATGCAGCTTAAAAGGGCCTCTACCGGCCTAAAGCATCCTGTGAGTCTGTGAGAGTCCTTCAGAGTCCTCTAGCCTGTAAGAGTCCTCTCTCAAGTAGGGATGCACCGATCCAACTTTTTCAGTTACAATACTTTGACTTTAAATATCTTCCAATACCAGATATTAACAGATACCTGAGACTGAAAATGGCAGGAATTTCCTTAAAATTTTTGATGCTACAGGCTTTTTATGCAATATGTAGCAGCAAATGTGACCTTCAGAGGAAATACTCCGAGGGAATGAACACAAGATACTGTTGGATGAAATGTTTGTCTTTTCATATCCACAGAGACTATGCAAGAGGTTAACTAAAAAGCTAACCATCGACATCTGAGATGCCACGGGTTTTAACACCATATGTGGCAGCAAATGTGGCTGAAGACCTTCCAGAGGAAATACTTTGAAGGAATGAACCATTTCATTACCAACTGAAAACACCAGAGCGGAGTGAGAACGAGGCCTTTCCTGTTGTGTTCACCTGGCGCCCCCTGGAGGCTGCAGCACACAGAGGAGGGACTCTTTTGGCTCTTTCTCTCCTCAAACTGCCCTGACACAGATCTGCTGACCCTCCCTGACCAGTCCTCCTGTTAAACTGCACTGAGACCTTTGACTGAGACACAAAGGTCACTGAGAAATGCAGTGGAAATGCTGCAGCAAAACTTGAATTTCCCTTGGGATCAAAAAAGTATCTCTCCAAAATAGTTAAGCTATTACACAAGAGATCTACTTCTGCTATGCAAATGTTATTTATCCTTCAAATAACTACTGAACAGCTTCCCATGAATCAAGTTTCAAAAATTATGAAACGTTCTCGGCCAAAATCAGCCTTTAAATATGATTATTACAGCCAACTTAAGGCCCAACCAGAATATAGCCTGAACCGTTATCATGGAACCGATCGATGCATCTCTACACTAACGTTCTAGCCTGTTTGTAAGAGTCCTCTAGAGTCCTGTAGTCAAAGTCCTCCAGCGGGTCAAAAAATTTTGTGTTTCAATTAAGCATGAGAAAAAGGAGAAGGATGAAGTAAAGTCTGAGTCTCTCTAAGACTACACTCTGAAGTAGTCCAACTTTGATTCATGTACTCTCCACTACAGCAGACAAAAGCTTTACGTGCCCATCACTCTCAGTAAGGTTACTCTAGCACCTCGTACCTGTCTGAAATTGAACTGCAGGTCTCGTGGCCCCTCTCTGGCCTGTGGTTCATCCCATTCTGCAAAGCCCTCGCGGTTCTTACGGTTCTTCAGCTGCCTCAGAATGTGCGGCAGAGTCTCCACAGAGATCTGATCTTCAGGAATCTGAGCTAGAGCATCTAGATCCGAGGGGGACAGGCCCAGGCTGGAGAACAGCTTCATGGAGGTGCTGCTCAGATGTTCAGCAGAATTGTGAGGTCTGCCCATCTGCTCCGGGCCACGCCCACCACTGCCCCCTGAGGCCATGCCTCCGCCTGGACGCCCAGGGCTGAAGTTTGCTGCAGATAGTAAACCGCGACCAGCACTAAAACCACTCCCTTTCTGAGCCATTAGGGAGTTGAACTACAGATGCTCGCTGAGTCCAAAAGCTTTGTTTAAGAAATCACAATATCTTTGAAAATACTGAGATGTTGCAGGGCACAACACTAAAAGCAAGTGCAGTCTCTGGGATAAAAGTAAAACTCCTCTTCTTGTTTCAAAGCAGAAGGTTCCTCAATCTGTACTTGAAGCTGAAACAGAATGGAGACAATAATAGAAGAGCCATTTCAGAACATGTTTGCAACTAAAGTGCCGGCCAAGTCGAACAGACAGCAAGTCATGTCGACGTTTGCAATGCATAAAGTAGAGAGAAGGTTTACGATGTTTTACAAGCACATTAGCATAAAGATCAAATCTTGATTTCAGTGTCATTTACAATTGTGGAAGTTGCCGAAGTGACCAAGCCCAGAAAGATACTAAGAACTGTAGATATTAAAAGCTGACATTTAATTAAGTGAAGTCAGAAAGACAAATATATTTAACTAGCCTGACCAGCCAGAGTCTTCCGTCTGGTACCAGTTAAACGTTCAAGTAGGCAAAGACAGGTGCAGAACATAACCACTAAAGTGAACCGAGGGGTGAACTTAAAATGTTGTCCATAAACAGACTTCAGATGCTTTTATAAAGGATGGAGTATCAAGCCGGACGATGAAAACCCCAATGATACGGATCTTACGAACAGTGAGGATTCAGGATTAAAGCGCTGTAGAAAAGTATTGTTGCTTGGAAAACAAAGTATGAGGGGCTGGCTGGCCAGGCTAGTCACAAAAGTTTGGAGGGAAAACATTTCTGTCCAGATATGATTACGTGCATGTTAAGTTGTTCAAAAAAAAAAAAAAAAGTATAAATATAATTGATTCAGGCAGATTGACAGCTTCAAAACAGTGATGTTCAACAAGTGAGGTAACCTTTTAATTGCTATTGTTGTGGTGTGAACAATGAACAAATCATTCTTATTTTGATAGTAGAATTTCTCCTCGCTATAATACCACCATGAGTGACATTTGGAAAAGAAATACACTCTTGAAGTCAAACTAAAAAGTACTCAAAGGATTCATATTGGAGCATGGTGACACATTTATATTTGTAAGACAAAGTCAATCGGACAGGGTATCAGTAAGAAGTTGCTGATACGATACATACCTCGATACATAGGCCACGATACGCACTTTCGATTTGATACGGTTCAGTAAAAAATAAAGACTAAATTATGTCTGTGATACTAAAAAAAAGTCTTCGTTAAACCACTTCTTGGACAAAGCTCATATGAAACGCTCCCATTTAAATCATCGAAACAAAGAAAATGTCAAATGTGTCGCATAAACGAGTTTCCTTCCACTAAAAAAATACTCTTGGCGATATATCGATACAGCAACCTGCAATATCAATACTGTATTATCACATTAAATGATACGATTGGGGTGTAATAATATCCAAGTTTCACGATACGGTATCGTCACAGTATGAACCTCACGGTACGATATTTATTGCAGAGGCTCATGATTAGGGATTTAACAAAATTCAAATCTCTCGGTACGATATTTTCACGATATACATCTCACGGTACGATATTTTCACGATATACATCTCAAGGTACGATATTCATTGCGATATTTTGTGGAGGCTAATATGCTACTTTTTCCTCTTAAAATGCCTTGACAAGACTTGAACTAGAACTAAGACAAGAACTAAGACTTAAAAATGCTTAGAACTGTTATTTCTTCTTGTAGTCTGCACTGAAATGGAGCAAAGAATCATGGTCTATGTAGTCCCCTCTGTTTTTTTTAGCTATTACTGCACCATAACTCTTAATTTAAGCAAAGAGACTTGTAATTCGATATATTTTAACAACTTTGACGATACGATATCATGACATTTCAGTTATTGTTACATCCCTAAATATGATATATCGATATTTCAATGTTTTTGCACACCTCTAATCGCCAGTGTTGTTAACAAGAACAGTCCTCTCTTTATTCAGAAATGCAAAATGTAATGGGAGACAAAAATAAAATAAAATAAAAAATACTGTTAACGCATGTTTTTTTTTTCAGTAAACAGCTAAATCCAGTGGCCTTAAAACAACTTTAAAATTTCTGCAAAAGTTCGAAAAGACGGATGAGGGACATAAGAAGTGTTTTGACTTGAGATCCTGGAGCTGTAGTCCTGATGAAGAGGAGAGATTTGCGCTGGAATTGATGAAGAACAGCACGTCCACGACGCCGAAGAGATCCAGGCCCAACACTGCGCACTGCACAAGCTTTTGCGAACTGGACTGGACTGCTAACTTAGCTGGTGCGGCTTATACAACGTTAAAACTTAATCACGGAACTACGCATATCAACACAGCACAGAAATACGCAGTTTGCTTACTTACTATGACGGAATTTCATTTAAAACGCATGTGTGCTAGTTTTCTGCAGTGATTCAATGGATTTAGCTTTAGCCGCTACTAGCATGCTAACAGTCTGCGCCGTTTCACTCACCTTTTCGCGAGTCCAGCGGAATAATTACGCGAGCTTCGTAATGCACAGACACGACGGGGTGCGTAAATTGTTAAATCCGTGGTTTCTTACCTGTGTCGGGGGTAAAAAGTGTGTTTTAGCGCAGTTTGAGGATTCACGAGTGTCGCACGAAACGAAACCAATGCCGCCGGAAGTGAGTTATCCTTATGTGGAGTGACACGGGGAGAAACAGCGCTATCTTCTGGATTACAAGGGTACTGCACCTCCCCTTGGTTCAGTCCAGTTTGGAGTAAATTTGGAGTCAAACTTTTAATATCAAGTTAAAGATAATAAGAAAATAAGATAATAAGATAATATTTGGCTTTTCTAGAAGCGCCAGGCCTAAACCAAGATCATATCAAGTCTAAATTAGGGCTAAACATGGTCTAACTTGGGAAATAACGGAACATGAACCGAAAATATGTATTCTGAAAAGGTCTACCCCAGGGGTGGGCAAATTACAGCCTGGGTGCCATATGTGGCCCTTTAATCTTTTTAATCGGGCCCGCCGAACATGAAGAATAGAATAATAATAATTTCCAGTGTTTTAATAGTCATTTCAATAAATAGTAAACACCGTGAGACTTGAAAGACAGATATTTTGCTGTAATGATTTTCAGTTATGGGGTATTTCAATAACATGGGATATGTTTTCTATTTTTTATTTTTTATTTTTTTTTCTCTTATGAGGTGGATTACCAAAACCTCCATCCATTTGCTCCTGGTCTGGCCTTTTTGTCAAATTTTAGAACCCTTTGTGGCCCACGAGTTAAAAAGTTTGCCCACCCCTGGTCTACCCATTTAAAGTATTCTGGTACAGTTAAATCATGTCTCATTTGCTGGTATTCAGAATTCAATTACTTTTCTACATTAAAAAAGAATGCATGGTGGTATTTATCATACATTTTTGTCTTTGTACTGCAAGCTATTAGTGAGGGTGGGCATTTTTTCATAATTAGACATCAATTTATCCATGACTAACAGAAATATTTTTGTTGAAATTACAGGCCTAGTGCCACTTGGAGTAAAGTATTTCAAGTATTCAGAATACAGTACCCTGATCAATGTAAGGTGCATTAAAAAAAAACCCAAATGTTCAGATCATTTCATATTGTCAGCATAAAGCTTTTGTTAGCTGTAGATTTACTGACTGTGAGAAGAGGAACCACACCTTTGTTGAGTTTGTTGCTTTCGCACAAGGATCTGATTCTATGTATGATTTCCTTAGAAATTGGCACTGCAGATCTGCCTCCTTTTTTTTGTTTCTGTGTATCTACGTAACAGTTGGGCTATTTGAGATGAGACATTTATCTAAATTGTTTAAATTATTATAATTAAGAGTACATTTAGAATCAGTTAAATTGGTAGTTCGTTGAAGTGATTTCCTGAGTGATGACTTGACTGGAGGGGGTATAGTGGGGAGCAAAGGATAAGGTAGGGTTACAATGAGACAGGCTGATGAAATAATGGGCAATACCAGGCCTATTTTTATACCTAGTATTGACTTTTTCCCCTGTAAAGTTGTAAGTCTATCTTCAGCATTACATCTTACAAGCAGCCATGCCTAAAAATAAGACATGTAGAGGCACGTTAGAGCATCAAATGGCCCAACAGTCACAGAGCTTGTGACAGTGGTAGGAACTAATGTGGTTGAAACTGTAACATATTGCAGTAGTATTTTTATTTTATTGCGCTTGGACCTGCTATTTATTTAACCCATGTTGAACCCACCTGGGGTTTGCCTATATTTAACCTGCTCAATGTAAAGTATTTAAAACAGGCATAGAACAAATGTGTTGGCAAGGTCACTTTAGGTTGTTTGACTATTTTTGTCTCAGAAATCTCCAAACTGAAGCATATGAAGGATGATTCGTCCTTCAAACACTGAATTCCAAATATCTCCCATTTAAACAAAAATTTAAACGAGGTCAGAGCTCATAGTACCAAGGCATATAGCACTTTACATACCATTACATCATCTTTTCAAAGCGGAATATGATCAAGGCTAGAATTACTCGGAAACAGAGCAGTCAGAGTCAAAATTAAACGAGCAGGCCTGTAAATAAATAAATAAATAAAATTTAATACATAAAAAATCTAAAATCCATAATATTAGAAAATTACTTGACTTGAGATTTAAAAAAAAAAAAAAAAAAAAAAAAAGGCGTAAACAGCTGTTCGGGGGTTTTGGGGGGTAACGTGATGACGTAGCAGCGCTTGTTGGACCAATCAGGGCGCAGGGGAGGGCGACGGGCGCGCTGTAAACAAACAGGGCCGCCATTACGCTGTTGTTCACTCCAGACTCAACACCACAAACTTCGCCCTGCTCCGGGTTTTTCCCCAAACACGGCCGCTTTTTCAGGTGAATCTTTGTCCGTTCGTGAACATTAAACTCTAACCGATAATTAGATGCGTTTGTGGTAGTTGTTATTCAGCGTGAGAGCTAGAAAAGTGTTGAAATGAGCGGAGTAATGGCTGTAGGGATGAGGACAGAATGAACGAAAAGCGAAGTTGAATAAAAGAAAGATTTGACAAAATAAAAAAGATAAAGTACAAATAATCCAAATACTACAGTAAGATAAAGCTTTAATAAACGCAAATATGTCTGTATCTAATTTAGCTAACCGTATGGATGAAATATACTTTATCAAAATACTTTTCATTGGATTATTAGACCACAATTTGTATAATTATTTGTATGACTGCGCGATAATGGACATTTTTGCGATATTTTACGGCTGCAAAGTTTTATAAAATTGACTCTTGTGAGCTTTAATGCATGTTATAATGTTGTTACCTCATCAAAAACATACCTGGGATTGTATTCTGTCCCACCCACACAATTGAGTAATCGTGCATTATTAGTATTTCGACATCTCCAAAGATCTGAATGTTGTGAAGTGGTAGTTTTCAAGTTAATATAGTTACCTTTTACCTTTAGTTTAGTAGAAATTGGAAATTCCAGAGCCGAAATGATCCACAACATGTCTATAGGGTTGTGTTTTGTGTCATTCCTACATGTTTAACACACAAACAGTGCGTATTTCTTATTCAGTTTAGTTCTTCTCGCAAACTGGAAACGCTCTGGTCAACTTTTGTGTTGTCACGCGGTGATACGGGAAGTGCTCTACTGTGTTTTTAAACTCCATACACCTTCACTAGAATTACTTTGATCATGCTGGCCAAATATATACACAAAACAAAATGGACTCAAAATAAACCAAACGTTCACCATTATAAGAACGAAATACAACAATATTTCTGAACAATAAATTAGGTAAAAAAAAAAAAAAAAAAAAAAAGGCTATTAAAACATACAATATCTATAGGAAAAACTTATAAGTATCAGTCTCCCCTACACTTCATGTTACAGTTTTTTATTTGGTATTTGATATTTGGTAAGTATACTTGGCTTTGTAATTGTGTGTATTTGAACATATTGAATATAAAAATAAAAAAAAAATCACTAGAATTATTTGGATCATTTCAGCCTGGGGATTGCGAATATATTTTAAACAAACGGTAAAAAAGTAGCTGCTGCCTTGAAAACTACCGCATCATGACATCACAAGGTGGAACAGATTAATTATAAAGAATTACATGTGTTATGTAGGTATGTTTTAGATGAGGTAACAACATTATAACATGACTTAAAGCTCACAGGAGTCCAGTTTTGCGTAATATAAGACCTTTAAGGTGTGTGCGGGCCCTGGGTTGTGCTTGGACAGCTAAGGGCACAGACTGAGCCACACACAGACACTCACACATACACACACACACACACACACACACACACGTCCTTTCCATATAGAAACAGGTGGACAGGCCACACTGCACTGAGTGTCTTTAAAGGAATCTCAGCTGTTTCCTGACTCTGGTTTCTTGCTCGGTTTCAGATGCCATCACCACATTCTATAGGCCAACATTATTTAATCGAGATGGGGAACAGCTGAAATTATCACTGTTCAACTGCGTATTTTTGTTGTTTTTGATTGTTTTGGGTCTAGGCAATAATAGTAATGATCAGGTTCCATATTTGCGCATTTGCCTTTCCAAACTTTCATGGCCAAGTACAATGTAAACAATAGGCAAGGCAAGTTTATTTGTACAGCACAATTCGTACACAAAGTAATTGAAAGCGCTTTACAGAATAAGAAAGACATTAAAACCACAACACAAACAAATCAAAACATAAATAGTTATCATAACATAAAAGACAGAGACATTAAAGGAGAGAGAAGATTACAAAATGAAACCTTTCAGTCAGCTAAATAGAACCGTTTTGAGCCTGGATTTCAGCTGAGTCAAAGTAGAGCCTGTCTCGCATGTTCAGACTGTTCCAGAACCTGAAACGCTGACTCCCCGTCTTTAGTCCTGACTCTGGGCACCAGCAGGAGGCCGGTCCCTGAGGTCTTCAGAGTGCAGATGATTCATATGATGCATCATTTTCAACATGCAGAATCTTGTGACAGTTTTGTCTTGCGAGATCTTTTTGTCCCATCCCTAATCTTTTATAACTGATACTACTTTAGGTTCTTAATGGAAATTCAGCACTATACTAAACCGTAAAAAGACGTACTAAACCAGAGTGTGGTCTTATTGATTCTTATTGGTTGATGAATTAAACGGTGGATTGTGATTGGTCGGCAGGTGAGGATGACGGTCAGTAACCACATGCCTCTTGAGGAGCCGCTCATTCTGGAGCTGGAGGAGAACCCCTTCGCCGAGTACATGTGGATGGAGAACGAAGAGGAGTTTGACAGACAGGTCACCACAATATGAATCTCTGACTCTCTTCTCTGCTCCTCTGACTCTCTTCTCAGCTCCTCTGACCTTCTCCTTTGCTCCTCTGTTCCTCTAACTTTCTCCTCTGACCTTGTCCTCTGCTCCTTGGACCGTCTGACCTTCTCATATGCTCCTCTGTTCCTCTGACCCTCTGACCTTCTCATATGCTCCTCTGTTCCTCTGACTCTCTCCTCTGTTCCTCTGACTCTCTTCTCAGCTCCTCTGACCCTCCCTTCTGCTCCTCTGTTCCTCTGACTCTCCTCTGCTCCTCTGACCCTCTGACCTTCTCATATTTCCTCTGTTCCTCTGACTCTCTTCTCAGCTCCTCTGACCTCTCTTCTGCTCCTCTGTTCCTCTGACCCTCTTCTCTGCTCCTCTGACTCTTCTCTGCTCCTCTGACCTTTTCCTTTGCTCCTCTGTTCCTCTAACTTTCTCCTCTGACCCTCTGACCGTGTCCTCTGCTCCTTTGACCCTCTGACCATCTCATATGCTCCTCTGCTCCTCTGACCTCTTCTCTGCTCCTCTGACCCTCTCCTCAGCTCCTCTGACCCTCTCCTCAGCTCCTCTGACCCTCTTCTCTGCTCCTCTGACCCTCTTCTCAGCTCCTCTGACCTCTTCTCTGCTCCTCTGACCCTCTTCTCAGCTCCTCTGACCCTCTTCTCAGCTCCTCTGACCCTCTTCTCAGCTCCTCTGACCCTCTTCTCAGCTCCTCTGACCCTCTCTTCTGACCGTCTGACCTTCTCCTCTGCTCCTCTCCTGGTTTCCTCAGACCTGTGCCTCGTGCGTTGCAGGTGGAGGAGGAGTTGTGGGAGCAGGACTTTATCGAGTCCTGTTTTAACCAGATGCTGGAGGAGGAGCAGTGGGAGTGGTTCATCCCGTCCAGAGACCTGCCCCAGGACAGCGCCCCCTACAGCCTGACAGACAGCTGCACCCAGACAGAGGGCTACCACAGCGCCCCCTGTGCTTCAGACATTGTTGTGAGACACACTCCTGTTATAGTCAGTCTGTTTCAAGTGTATTCATTCATGTGGAATAGGCGAGTTTCAGCTGACGTCATTGTTATTAAAAGCCCGCGTTGCATGCTGGGAAATATTTTGGTCGGAGGCAAGAAACAGGATAGCGTCAAACACAGTGTGTAACCTCACGTATTTATCCCCGATAATGGTAAATTCCTGCTGCATTATCGGATGCACAAATAGAAGCACGGAAGAAGGAAAATGTCTTTTTCGTATTCTGAGTGAAAAGAACCACTAACGGTGAATTAAATGGTTTTCAAACATCCGCAGAGCAAACGTAGAAGATCCTAACAAACCGTGGACTCCAACAAGTTCAACAACACATCGAGACTCTTGGAGGTTTTCATCTTTTCTGCTGTGAATGGCCCAGGAGTTTCCACCAAGTCATTGTGGATATCGCCCAAGTGAATATTTGTCCAGGTAGTTGGTGATTCCGACCAGAGATTTGGTTTGGTCCACCTTTTGTCGGGGTTGAAAAGGTGATTTGTCGTCCGTCGATGCTTATGACCAATTTCTGGTCAAATGGTCTTGGGTCCTCTGCCGTTAGAGTGGATAAATAACCGGGATCAATACCCTTTACGTGCTTTCTCGCTCCGTCCGTCATGTTGAATTAGTGTTTCTTGCCGCCGACCAAAATAATTCCCAGCATGCAACTCGCACTTTTGTCAACAATGAAACTCGCCTATAGTCACTAAACCGTCCATAGTTTAAACTTACTTGGTGAGAATTCCAACTTTACATTTTATCAGCCGTAGAATTCATAATAATGCTTTAAGGTCCGTTCAGACCAGAGCATCAAGGCGTCCAGTTTATATGAAAAGTCTATGTGGACATGTGTCTAGGGCGTCCTGCGTCTTTGGGCGTCAGTGTAGCATAAATTTGGTGTTGATGCGACATGTCTTGAGCGCTCTGACGTCGACGCTTTAGACGCGCGTCCAGGGCATCGGCGTCAGAAGTTGAAAATGCGGAACTTTTTGTGTCCGACCTGCCGCGTCAACCAATCGAGCATCCAGTGACGTAGTGACGTTATTATCCAGAAGAAAGAGAAAGACCCGAGAACTGGAGCGGGAGCCACAAACATTAGTGGAGTGTAAATATATATACACCACAATCACCGAGCGGATCGCGAGGACTACACCGAACCGAACCAGGACTACACCAGAACCGGACCAGGATCGGTCCAGGACTAAACCGGGACTAGACCGGGACTAGACCAGAACCAGATTAAACCAGGACTAGACCAGGACTAGACCAGCACCAGACTAAACGAGGACTAGACCAGGACTAGACCAGAACCGGCCCCGTACTAAACCAGGACTAGACCAGAACTAGACCAGAACCGGCCCAGTACTAAACCAGGACTAGACCAGAACTAGACCAGAACCGGCCCCAGGACTACTAGACCAGGACTAGACCAGGACTAGACCAGAACCGGCCCCGTACTAAACCAGGACTAGACCAGAACTAGACCAGAACCGGCCCAGTACTAAACCAGGACTAGACCAGAACTAGACCAGAACCGGCCCCGTACTAAACCAGGACTAGACCAGAACTAGACCAGAACCGGCCCAGTACTAAACCAGGACTAGACCAGGACTAGACCAGAACCGGCCCAGTACTAAACCAGGACTAGACCAGGACTAGACCAGAACCGGCCCCGTACTAAACCAGGACTAGACCAGAACCGGCCCAGTACTAAAACCAGACTAGACCAGACTAGACCCCAGTACTAAACCAGGACTAGACCAGACTAGACCAGAACCGGCCCCGTACTAAACCAGGACTAGACCAGACTAGACCAGAACCGGCCCAGTACTAAACCAGGACTAGACCAGGACTAGACCAGAACTAGACCAGAACCGGCCCAGTACTAAACCAGGACTAGACCAGAACCGGACTAAACCAGGACTAGACCACAACTAGACCAGAACTGGCCCAGTACTAGACCAGGACTAGACCAGAACCGGCCCAGTACTAAACCAGGTCTAGACCAGGACTAGACCGGAACCAGCCCAGTACTAAACCAGGACTAGACCAGGACTAGACCAGGACTAGACCAGGACTAGACCAGGACTAGACCAGAACTAGACCAACCGGCCCAGTACTAAACCAGGACTAGACAGGACTAGACCAGAACTGGACTAAACCAGGACTAGACCAGGACTAGACCAGAACTAGACCAGAACCGGCCCAGTACTAAACCAGGACTAGACCAGGACTAGACCAGAACTGGACTAAACCAGGACTAGACAAGAACTAGTCCAGAACCAGTCCAGTACTAAACCAGGACTAGACCCGGACCAGTACTAGTCCAGTACTACACCAGGACTAGACCAGGACTAGACCAGGACTGGACCAGGACTTGACCAGGACTTTACCAGTGTCATTAGAGGAGTATACATATATTCACGCCGCAGCCGTCGAGCCGATTGCCTCCGCTGATGATTTTATGTAATAAATACACTAAAGTCTCTCTCAGCTTGGTTTGCCATCGTTTCGGGAAAAGACCTGGACTGGGCACTTGTCTCCAGGCCGTCAGGGGCGTCTAAACTCCAATGCAAAGGTGTCCAAATAGAAGCGTCTAGGGCGTTTTTGACACTTCGGTCTGAACGGGACTTTAGTCTTATATAGAGCTTTTCCAGACACTCAAAGTCACTACAGTTTTGTGCATCCTGCAATTTACTCCACATTTGATGATGGTAAGATACTGTAGTAGCCACAGCTGCCCTGGGACACACTGACCGAAGTGAGGCTGCCAACCTGCACCATCAACCCCTCTGACCACCACTGTCACTGTCACACACTTACATACTTGACGATGTGGGTGAAGTGTGTTGCCTAAGGGTGTTGATGTCAGTTTTGTTAGAGGCACCTCACTGTGGTATTCTTTAACCCAAGTACTACCCAGGCCCCGCGCCATGTTTAGCTTCTAGATATGACAAGATCAGGCTTTGAAAAGCAGGTCTCGCACGAAAGGGTTCAGTCTCGGATCAGTTCTACTTTGAGGCCGACAAACAATACAGGAGAATTTGCCTGATTTTGGCTGCGATTTGCCTCTCCCTGAGTTTAGGGAGAGGCAAATCTTTGTGTCTTCATGTGCAATTTTGAAGCCGCTGCTCTTTTCGTGTGTGTGTGTGTGTGTGTGTGTGTGTGTGTGCGTGTGTGCGTGTGTGTGTGTGTGGTGTCAGCATGATTCTGAGCTGCTCTGTCAGATCATAAACACTAAATATCAGCAACACTTTGATAACAGTCTGTGGTGTGCACTTTCTGTCGCACGCTTGAAAACTTGTTTAAGACTAGAAAATCCTGTAGTGTGTGGCGAATCCGACTATCATTCGTTCATTCATTTTTTTAAATAAAACCAAAAATAAGAAAATGAAAAAAACAACTATTTTCTTCAGTATTTGTCGCCAAAACCAAAATGAAAAAAAACAGATAATGATTTGTTTTTTCAGGTTTCGATTTTGTGTTTAAATGAAAAATGGAAAAAATGTATAAGGGGCGTTTCCCGTTTCTGTGACTTAAACTACAATGCTAGACTTTTGCCAGACCAGGACTGAGACTGGTTCAGTCCTGGTTTAAACCTGGTTTAGTCCTGGTTTTAGTCCTGGTTTAGTCCTGGTTTAGACCTGTTATAGACCTGGTTTAGTCCTGGTCTCAGTCCCGGTCTCAGTCCTCATATCAGTTCTGGTCTGGTCCCTGTCTTGGTCCCGGTCTCGGTCCTGGTTCTCGGTCCGGTTCTAGGTCCGGTTCTCGGTCCCTGTCTCGGTCCTGGTTCTCAGTCCCGGTCTCAGTCCTGGTCTCAGTCCCGGTCTCAGTCCTGGTCTCAGTCCCGGTCTCATCCCGGTTTGGTCCCGGTCTTCTGGTCCCGGTCCCGGTTCTCAGTCCCCGGTCTCAGTCCAGGTGATCAGTCCTGGTCTCAGTCCCAGTTCTCAGTCCCGGTTCTCAGTCCCGGTTCTCAGTCCCGGTTCTCAGTCCCGGTTCTCAGTCCCGGTCTCAGTCCTGGTCTGGTCCTGGTCTTAGTCCTGATCACCCGACAGTCTACGGGCGCACATCCGGGCCCGTCCTGACACGCAGTCCTGTTTTAGTCCTGGTTCAGTCCTGGTTCAGTCCATATGCAGCTCAAAAGTCCGGCATCTCAGGTCACAGAAACATTTATTCATTTAAACACAAAATCAAAAACTGAAAATACAAATCGTTGTCCGTTTTTCGTTTTTATTCTGGAGAAAATAGCTGTTTTCTTATTTTTGGCTTTATTTTGAAAAACAAATGAACGAATGATACACGGATTGTGGCGTCCTGAAGTCTCTGTTTTCTGTTTAATCCTGGTTTGGTCCTGGTTTAGATCTTGACCAAGACCTGAGACTAACCTCCCGCTCCGTCCCCAGCTCCAGTCCAGCCTGAACCCCAACGCGAAAGAGTTCACCCCGGGGATCCAGAGCCACGTCATGTGACCCACGCCGCCTCACTCCAGACTGACCGGAGACCGAGGGTAGGACTCTAGAGCGGACGTCGCCATGGTTACCCACGGGCGGCCATCTTGTGACTTCTGACAGGGAACTGCACTTTCTTAGACTTACGATTGAGTTACATTTTTTTTTGTATTTCTATATGTTTTATTATTATTAACGTCCGACCTTCCCGTTCTAATGTGGAAAAAAAAAAATATCATGAAGGAATTGTCAGTTATGTAAAGAACCGCCCGGTGAACAAACGGGTCAAAACACTCCCTAATTTTCACCTGTCAGTTAGGGCTGGGCAAATATTGACGAGTCAAGTTAATCTCCATCTATTGTATAATTTTATTCATCCGTACACAACAAAATTGTAGGAGATTGTCACAAAAAATAAAGTAAAATCGGACTGTAAATCGGCTCTTTGCGCAGCGGCGAATGGCTAGCTCACTGTTAGCTCACTGTTAGCTCACTGTTAGCATCTATGATTTCTTTCGGGTTTTTTTTTTTTTGTTTTTGTTTTTTTTGATGAGTCATGATACAAACATTAAAACTGCTGAACATTAGACTAAACAGCGAGTTATTCTTAACAAATGAGGAGAAAAAATTGGCAAAAGCTTTTGACTCACTTTTCTTAGGTCCCTGTTAGCTCGTTGTTAGCTCACTGTTAACATTAAGTTGTTTTTTTTGTTGTTGTTGTTTTTTTGTTTTTTTTATGAGTCATGACACAAACATTAAAATTGCTGAACATTAGACTTAACAGGGAGTTAGATTTTACAAATGAGGAGAAAAAAATTGGCAGTAGCTTTTGTCTCACTTTTGTTAGCTCACTGTTAGCTCGTTGTTAGCTCACTGTTAGTGTCTATATTTTTTTTTTTTTTTTTCATGATGATTAAAATTTTACATCACATAAAAATATAAAAAATACTGGACATCACAGACAGTGTGTTAGACTTAATTTTTTTTTTTTTTTTAAGTAAAAAAAATTTGCATTAGCTGTTGTCTCAATGCTAATGCTAATTTTTAAGGCCTAATCAATATTAAATAAAATCGCTTGAGTAAAATAGCACCACAAACTGAATTAATCTACATATAGAAACTATTGTGTAGTCTTAAGTTTAAATTTTATTAGGTTATGTTAAAAAATTTTATGTTTTAATAAGAGTTAGCATTAGCTTTGAGACACAGTGAGCTAGCCAGTGCCCTTTATAAATTAATTTAATTTAATCCTAAGATTCTTTTATTTACTTCCGTTTTGTTTTGTTATTTGTTTCTGAATCAAAACCAGTATTATCCAACATCCTAACATTTCTACAGAACATTTTAATATAAATGTTTTGACGCGTTTCCTCGTCGGTTTTAGTCGTTGCGCAGTCTCCGCGGTCGCCATGGCAACGGTTGCTAAGTGCGCTCTAGCGTCGCGCTCGGTCTCTGTGGTTTTGCCAAAGTCCTGCTTGAGTTCTGTTTGTGTTTCGAGACTCTAGCCCGCCGTTCTGCTGCTGTTCTACTGCTGTTTATCGTATTATTATTATTATTATTAAAATGTTACTAGAATTCAGAACAGGTTTAAGACGAGACGTTTTATTCAAGAGAATTTTCACTGGTTTGAAAATAAATGTCTTTGTTTGAAACGTGTTGATTTTAGTCCTGGTTTAGGTCTAGTAAAAGGTGCACTGTGTAACTTTTAGCGGCTGGGGCTCCGTTGACGACCTGTTTCTGTGGATACGTCTGGAATGTTCCGCAGTATGACTTTAAACACCTCAACTTTACTTTTTTAATTGAATTACAGTTGGGTTTATAGCTTAAAAAATACCTCAAAAAATGGGCATTCTGGCTATTTTTTTAAGTATTTTTGGTGGTTTTCTAGGTTTTTTTTATCGTCTCTCCGCAGATCTGACTTGTGAATTGGTCTAAAGCCGTACCACGAAACATTCCAGACAAAGTAATAACATAATTCACTCAGAAAAGTTACACAGTGCGCCTTTAAGACCCTAGTTCAGTCCTGATTAGAACTGGTTTTGTTCTATTTTATGCCTTAAGTTTTTAGACTGAAATCGTCTCTTGTTAAACGTGTTCTGACGTGGCCTGTTCGTCCAGAAGGTGGCGCTAGAGTCCTGTTCTGTTTGCACTGTTTCCTGAAGTCTGTTAGAATTTTACACAAAGCACTGTAAAAAAATTAACTAAAAAGTTATAAAAGTGAAAAAAATCTATGTAAAAATATATTTTTTCTTAAAATATTTGAAATAAATGTTTATGAACAAAATGTACTTGGAATTATCATTTATTATTGTTTATTTATTTATTTCAAAAGTGTAGAAAACATATACAGGTACAAAATATTTAGGCAGTTCACATTGTTTTAGTCCTGATGTAGACTTGATTCGGTCCAGGTCTTGTACACGTCCTGTCCATGTTAATTCTGGATTTTGTCCCAATTTCCTCTTGTAGACTTGATTCGGTCCAGGTCTAGTCCAGGTCTAAACCAGGTTTATTCTGGATTTAGTCACAATTTCCAGACGTAGACTTGATTCAGTCCAGGTCTCGTGCACATTAATTCTGGACTTAGACCCAATTTCCTCGGTCTAGGTCTAAACCAGGTTTATTCTGGATTTAGTCCCAATTTACTTATGTAGACTTGATTTGGTCCAGGTCTTGTGCAGGTCTTATCCAGGTTTATTCTGAATTTGGTCACAATTTTTCAAATGTAGACTTCATTCAGTCCAGGTTGAGTCCAGATCTAGTCCAAGTTTATTCTGGATTTTGTCGCAATTTCCAAATGTAGACTTGATTTGGTCCAGGTCTAAACTAGGTTTATTCTAGATGTAGACTTGATACGGTCCAGGTCTAGCGCAGGTCTAAACCAGGTTTATTCTGGCTTTCATCCCAATTTCCAGATGTAGGCTTGGTTCAGTCTAGGTCTAGTCCAGGTCTAGTCCATGTTAATTCTGGATTTATTCTCCATTTCCTGATGTAGACTTGATTCGGCAGAGGTCTAATCCAGGTCTAAACCGGGTTTATTCTGGATTTAGTCCCAATTTCCAGATGTAGACTTGATTCAGTCCAGGTCTGATAAACGCCCAGTCCAGGTCTGGTCTAGTCTTCACATGAGGAATTAATTTTTATTCAGAATTAAAAAACAAAGACATCTCCATAGAAACAAGCAGGTGACGAACCCCCAAACAAAAAGTTACAAAATACATCTTTAAGTCTTGGGTTAGTCCTTGTTAGGTATTTGGTTTAGTTCTTGACTTCAGTCCTGCATTATTCCTGGTTCAGTTCTGGTCCGATCCTCGACCTGGACCTGGTTTAGTCCGTGTTTCAGTCCCGTTTTGGTCCGTGTCATAGCGTCCCCTGCTTGACCCTGTGGAAGAGCGCCCTCCTCTGGTCGGGGCTGAGCGTCTCGCAGCTCTGGAGCAGGTTGGTGAGGATGAGCGTCTGCTGGAGGCTCGAGGATTTGACCCAGACTCGCCCGTTTAGACCCAGAACCATCTCGGAGGGGAAGAGTCCAGCGAGGTCGGCCATCAGGTCACTGCCCGGGGCCAAGAGTCTGAAACACGAGAAACAAGGGGCCAATCAGAAAAGAGTATAGAATGAAACATAAAACTAAAGATAAAATAAAGATACTATAAAACAATATATAAGACTAAAAATTAAATCAGAAGAGAAAGTCAGAGAGTGATAATATAGTGTAGGATTTTCAGAATAATGTACATTTTATTTTGAAAGCGTCCGTGTGTCTCACCTGCGCACGAGTCCCAGAGACACTTTGACCATGAGTCCTCCAGATCCGAACACGCCAAGTCCGTTTGCGCGTCCAGCCCCGTCGATACAGACCAGCTCCGGCTCCATGTCTTTGTTTGCCACCAGGAACTGAGCGTAGACCAGGTCTCCAACCTGAAAACACAGGAAACAACTGAAACAGGACTGAAACAGGACTGAAACAGGACTAAACCAGGACTAAACCAGGACTGAACCGGGGCTAGACTGGGGCTAGACTGGGGCTGGACCAGGGCAAGACCAGGGCTAGACTAGGACTGAAACAGGACTGAAACAGGACTAGAACCAGGACTGAACCAGGACTGAACCAGTACTGGACAGGGGCTAGACCGGAGCTGGACCAGGACCAGATCGGGGCTAGACCGAGACTGGACCGAGACTGGACCAGGACTGGACCAGGACTGGACCAGGACTGGACCAGGACTGAACCAGGACTGAACCAGGACTGAACCAGGGCTAGACTGGGGCTGGACCGGGGCTGGACCAGGGCTGGACCAGGACTGGACCAGGACTGGACCAGGACTGGACCGGGGCTAGACTGGAGCTGAACCAGGACCAGATCGGTGCTGAACCGGGGCTATGACCGAGACTGGACCAGGACGGACCAGGACTGGACCGGGCCTGAATCAGGGCTAGACCAGGGCTCGAGCAAGGCTGGACCAAGGCTGGACCAGGGATGGACCAAGGCTGGACCAGGGATGGACCAGGGATGGACCAGGGCTAAACCAGGACTGAACAGGGACTGAACTAGATCTGAACCTGGGACTAAACCAGGTCTAAACCAGGTCTTAACCTCCTCACCTGCACGTTGGGCCTGTTCCTCTTGGTGGCGCCCTCGAAGGACAGGTAGGACAGCGACGCCAGCTCGCTCGCGCCCACGTCCACCTTGAACACGTCTCCGGACTTCGCCGTGACGATGCCGATCACACACTCCCCCTTCGCCGGGACAACACACACACACAACACAGGACAACACAGGACAACAGGTACAGGACACAGGACCAACACAGGACCAACACAGGACCAACACAGGACCAACACAGGACCAACACAGGACCAACACAGGACCAACACAGGACCAACACAGGACCAACACAGGACCAACACAGGACCAACACAGGACCAACACAGGACCAACACAGGACCAACACAGGACCAACACAGGACCAACACAGGACCAACCAACACAGGACCAACACAGGACCAACACAGGACCAACACAGGACCAACACAGGACCAACACAGGACCAACACAGGACACATTTACTGCTGCTGAATTTCTCACTTTGAATTTTTTAACTGTGAAAAAACATGCTTGAATTATTTTTGTACTGAATTTTAGTTGCTGAAAGTGTTTAAAATTCAATATAAAAAAAAGATATTCAGCTCGAATATTTTGAAGTCATGAAAGTGTAAAATTTGCAGTGAAAAAAATTTGCAGGAAAGATCCATAGACCGTATATATTTTTAATACCTTTTGTATATTTTTTTTGGAATACTTTTTCTTTTTTTTACTTTTTGTATGTTTTTTTTGGGTATATTTTTTATGGATATAAAAACAGTGCAAAGAAGGGAACTTTATACTTATTTTTTATTTTATTATATATATATATATATATATATATATATATATATATATATTATATATATATATATATATATATATATATATATATATATATATATATATATATATATATATATATATATATATTATATATATATATATATATATATATATATATATATATATATATATATATATATATATATATATATATTGCGCATCTCGCCCATTTCGAGATGCGCAATAAATGGTGGTTGACATCGCAATACCAAGCGATGGTAATATCAGGAAAAAGGAACACGAGAAGCTAGAGAAATACCAGGGGCTCAAGGAAGAGCTGGAGAGAGCCTGGAAAGTAAAGGCATCAGTGGTGCCTGTGGTGATCGGACACTCGGGGCTGTAACCCCAAACTGGAAGAGTGGCTACAACAGATACCGGGAAAAACAATGAACATCTCAGTCCAGAAAAGTGCAGTACTGGGAACAGCAAAGATACTGCGCAGAACTCTCAAGCTCCCAGGCCTCTGGTAGACGACCCGAGCTGAATGAGGGTGAGAGACCTACCACCGTGGAAGGTGAGAAACACATTTTTTTTTTTTATATTATATATATATATATATATATATATATTTTGTTTACTTTTTATGTATACTTTTTTTTTATACTTTACTTTTTTGATTTTATAATTTTTTTTTACTTTTTTGTATAATTTTTTGTATATATTTTTATGGATATAAAAGCATCGCAAAGAAGGGAACTTTATACTTCTTATTTTTTATTTTATATATATATTTTGTTTTGTTTTTTTTGTTTTTTTTATACTTTATACTATTTTTTTGTGTTTTTATTATTATTTTTTTTTACTTTTTTGTATGATAATGCAATTTATTATTTATGGAAACATCCGAAATAAATTTATCATCATTATTTATAATTATTTTGTTACAGCTACAGTTTTGTTGCTTGTTTAGGTAAAACTCGTTTATGCGACACATTTGACATTTTCACTGTTTTGATGATTAAAATGTTTGTGTTTCATATGAACTTTGCACAATAACTGGTTTAACAAAGACTTTTAGTGTCACAGCCACGATTTAACCTTTAGTTTTTATTGAATCGTATCGAATCGATTTGAAATATCGAATCAAAAGCTCACTTTATCAAGGTATGCATCGTATCGGCAACTTCTTAATGATACTCAGCCTTAGTTATTATATTATGCACTTTAACAGAAAAAAATTACATGCGATATTTCTTTTTCGTGTCTTAAAATGTTGAAATCGAATCGATATTGTGACCCCTGTCGAATCGTGGGAAAACCGCATCGTTGCATCTCCACTGTCTAACGTCTCCAAAGCTCAAAACGCTCTGTTCCATTTTATAACATCATGAAGTGGTATAATTTTCAAGTTAACATCTACTTTTTTACCTTTAATTCGGTATAAATTGACAATTTGAGGTCTGCAACTATCCAAATGATTCTAGTGAAGGCGTACAGACTTTAAAAACACAGTGGAGCACTTCCTGTATTACAAACAAAACACAACTCCAGGTCTGTTTGTGACGAGGAAACATTAAAACAGATCAGAAAATGCTGTAAAATGGGCTCTTTAAGTACAAATTCTGCAAAAATAGTAGCACAAGTTGAGGTTAAGTTTAGAGCAACAGATAAATGCAAAGAAAACTGAGCAGAATAAAGAATAATTTACTAAACCAGAGCTAGAAATACTGGAAGAGGACTATTTTTACTGGCACAGCTCCTTGTTTGTCTCACCCTTTTGCTTTGGGACTGGATCCAGAACACGTTGGGGGCCTTGTGGCGCAGATGCCCGCTCACACACACCAGAACCCGGTCTCCGCTCCTGCGCAGCCCCGGTCCACACACCGCGGTGTCTTTACGCGCCGTGGCCGACAGAGAGAGCGTGTCCTCGGCCTCGCACACGAACTCATCCCCGGGGAGCAGCACCTGTCCCACCCTCTCCTTCAGCGCGGACAACATCTCCACAAAAACACAGAGAAAATAACGGAGAAAAGACCGTGAGCAGACACCGGAGCTCCGCCGTGCGCCTCCGGGTCTGCGCGCACATGTGCCGGGGACTCTTCCTCTGTCCAGCGCGAGGCGAGCTGCGCTACCGCCCCCGTGTGGACGGAGAGCGGAATGGAACATCATTTATTCATCAGATTTTGGACTTTAAATACAGCTGAATTTCTCACTTTGAATTTTTTTTACTCTCAAAAAAGCATGTTTGAATTATTATTATTATTATATTACGCCGGCAAAAACATAACCTCCTGTCTGTTTGTTTGTCTGTTTGTTTGTTTGTTTGTTTGTTTGTTTGTTTGTTTGCCTGTTTGTCTGTTTGTTTGTTTGATGAAATTTTCAGGATTTGTTGGAAATGTGAAAAGGAAGAACTGATTTCATTTTGGGGGTGATCCGGAAGAAATCCTGGATTCTGGATCACTTTGAAATTTTAGTTCACATTGTGGTAAATGGGGCCAAAAATTATTTTGTTTCTCAATATCTCGGTTAATTATTGACCAAACCCCATGAAATTTGACTCAGGGATGGACAATGGGATCCTCTTTCATATTCCAAAGGCTGATCCGGATCTGATCCAGAAGACTGATTTTATCGCAATTTTTATATAAAAAATGGGGGTAGTCCTTGGCGGAGGTCTGCGCTCTCTGAGTGCTTTTCTAGTTTTTGTACTGATTTTTAGTTGCTGAAAGTGTTTAAAATAAAAAAAATAAAAAAAAACGTTTTAAATATTCTGCATAAACATTTTCAAGTCCTGAAAGTGTAAAATTTGTAGTGAAAAAAATTCGCAGGAAAGATCCATAGACCGTATATATTTTTAATACCTTTTGTATATTTTGTATACTTTTTTTTTTTTGTATACTTTTTTGTATATTTTTTATGGATATAAAAAACTGCACAAAGAAGGGAACTTTGTACTTCTTATTTTTTATTTTATTTTATTTTATTTTATTTTATTTTTTTTTTATGTATACTTATTGTCAAGGAAATTCTGCTCACAAGACAATTCTGTTAGAAAAAACACTCAGAAACGACCAAGAGTAGTTTATACTTGTGCCAAGGAGAGTTGTCTGTCTGCTTCCTGCCCTATTCTGCCTCTCACCCTCTGAGCAACGCTTTTATTTCAGCATTTGACACAAATAGATTACATTTCATGACATCACATTACATATTGTTCATGTTATCTCATGACTAACAACCTTCAACTAAACTGCCTCCCCATTTCACACTTGATTACATGTCCCAGTGACAGACAATTACGTAGTTCCCCAAGGCCTTCAGTTTAGCAGATGATGGGACAAACCCTAGATCAGGGGTGTCAAACTCATCTTGGTCCGGGGGCCGAATCCAACCGACTTTGATCTCAAAGGGGCCGGATCAGAAAACTCATGTCATATAAACCCCAAAAATAATAATAAGTTCAAATATTTGTGCAGAGAAACACAAATCTATTACAGAAATCTTTTTTAATTGATGAACTCTTTCTTTTACAAAATATTATAATATTATGAACAACCTGAAACTTTAAGAAAAATGCAATTTCAACACAAAGTTTTAACATGAACTTGTATGTAAATAGGAATAAGTTAGTTTTTCATGGAAAATCCTGCACTCAGCTCCACTTTTCTCATGTTGGACATTTTTCTGATGAGGGTGTCACGGTCAACAGTCAAAACGATCGTCCTTTAAGAGCGTTTGGAAAGAGACAAGTCTTCATTTGTGCTGCTCTGGTGGGAGGGGCCACGTACAGAGACACTGGAGACGCTGCTGTGATAAACACCACAGAAAATTTACAAGATTTTAATAAAAAATAGAATTAAAACATTTTAGTAGAAAATCAGCCGAGGGCCAGATTAAAGGTCTTGGAGGGCCGGATCTGGCCCCCGGGCCGTATGTTTGACACCTGTGCTCTAGTTGTTTGCTCTGATGATAGATTAGCTTAATGAATCAGTTGACATGTCGTTCATATCAGCTGCTTGTTTTCATGTCACATACATATCAAAACCAAAACACCAAACAATGTTGATAAACTTTATATGTCATCATGATCTGTCTTTAAAAATGATTAACGCTTTAATGAGAAATACATATATAGCATAAAATTCTCTAACACTTATTTTTTATACTTTTTTATTTTTAATTTTTTTTTACCTTTTTTACTTCTTTTTTGTTGGTTTTGTTTGGTTTTGGTTTTTCTTTTTCTTTTCTTTTTTTTTTTTTTTACTTTTTAGGTTTACTTTGTATATTTTTTTTTTTCTTTCTTTTTTTGGTTTACTTTTTATGTATACCTTATATATATATACATATATATATATATATATATATATATATATATATATATATATATATATATATATATATGTATGTATGCTTTTTTTAAAACTTTTTTTAGTTTTACATTTTATATATATATATATTTTTTATACAGTCTATGGAAATATCTAAGATGCCAAGGCAGAAGGAATTGATCCAAAATGATCCGATCTAACTTAGTAACAAACAGGAAAAATAATTCAGCAGCATTTAAAATAAAAAATCTGATGGAAAAAATTATTTTCCATAGAGCGGCAGGAAACTCTCTCCGTAAAAAAGTGAAGTGCAGATATTTTATCAACGTAGAAAATATTAGACCAAGAGGATGTCGGGTATCCAAGACTAAGCCTGGACTAAAGCAGGTAAAACTGGACTAAACCCAGACAATCAGTGTGAAACCTTCTGTAGCTGCTTTGTGCCAGCAGGTGGCGCTGAAGGACTGTATATTATTGCACTTGTTCTTCGGTGGAGCAGTTTCAACCTGGGATCCTGAATGAGCCACACAACGACCCAGGACCTTTATTTAATCTTAGTTTGCAAAATAGATTTTAATGTTTCTTTTGTGTCATTTGACCTAATTTGATTAGAATATATCACCATCAATAACAAACCTTTTTAAATTTTTTATTTTTTTTATATCTTCTGAGTTCTTTTGTGGCCTGCAGCTCAGACTTCATGACCCCTGGGAACCTGCCGTCGTGTTTTATCCAAACAAAGAGAAAACGCTTCAGTCCTGCTTCAAAACAACCTCACGAACTACACATTTATACACATTTATATTAAATTATTAAATAGAAAAATATCAACATTATACAGAGACCAGATTTTTAAAATAAAAACAAAACTGGGACACCCCCAGTTTGGTCTAGTCCTGGTTTAGTCCTGGTTTAGATTTGATCTAGTCCTGGTCTTGTCCTGGTTTAGATCTGATCTAGTCCTGGTTTAGTTCTGATCTAGTCCCGGTCTAGTCCTGGTTTAGATCTGATCTAGTCCCGGTCTAGTCCTGGTTTAGTTCTGATCTAGTCCCGGTCTAGTCCTGGTTTAGTTCTGATCTAGTCCCGGTCTAGTCCTGGTTTTAGATCTGATCTAGTTCTGGTCTAGTCCTGGTTTAGATCTGATCTAGTCCTGGTTTAGTTCTGATCTAGTCCCGGTCTAGTCCTGGTTTAGATCTGATCTATTCCCGGTCTAGTCCTGGTTTAGTTCTGATCTAGTCCCGGTCTAGTCCTGGTTTAGTTCTGATCTAGTCCTGGTCTAGTCCTGGTTTAGTTCTGATCTAGTCCCGGTTTAGTCCTGATCTAGTCCCGGTCTAGTCCTGGTTTAGTTCTGATCTAGTCCCGGTCTAGTCCTGGTTTTAGATCTGATCTAGTTCTGGTCTAGTCCTGGTTTAGATCTGATTTAGTCCTGGTCTAGTCCTGGTTTAGATTTGATCTAGTTCTGGTCTAGTCCTGGTTTAGTTCTGATCTAGTCCCGGTCTAGTCCTGGTTTAGATCTGATCTAGTCCTGGTCTAGTCCTGGTTTAGATCTGATCTAGTCCTGGTCTAGTCCTAGTTTAGAACTGATCTAGTCCTTGTTTAGTTCTGATCTAGTCCTGGTTTAGATCTGGTCTAGTCCTGGTTTAGATCTGATCTAGTCCTGGTCTAGTCCTGGTTTGGATCTAATTTAGTCCTGGTCTAGTCCTGGTTTAGATCTGGTCTAGTCCTGGTTTAGATCTGATCTAGTCCTGGTCTAGTCCTGGTTTGGATCTAATTTAGTCCTGGTCTAGTCCTGGTTTAGTTCTGATCTAGTCCTGATCTTGTCCTTGTTTAAATCTGAATTCTTTTTATTCTGACTGTCATGATTCACTGTAAGATCTTGTTAAGACATTTAAAAAAGAAAACTCTTAACTCTTCTCTTCATCAGACTCCACCAGTGACGTCCAGAGAAGAGGGTGAGTGATAAAAGACGATGCTAATATCGTTAAATCAGCCACAATAAACCCAACAAACAGATTTTCACCTCTGTCACAGACTGATGTTAACGTACAAACAGATACTGTGCTGTCATCACAAAACAAGAACAAAATGTGCAGGCATAACGGGAATCTGTGCCAAACGTCAAGGTCAGAGATACGCTGCTGCTAGGAGAGAAATCCTAACATGCTGCTCCCCGACCAAGGCAAGTTTATTTGTATAACACAATTCGTACACAAAGTAATTCAAAGTGCTTTACAGAATAAGAAATACATTAAAATCATAATAAAAACAAATCAAAACATAAATAATCATGAAGATTAAAATTAAAAAAGAGAGACATAAATTGGAGAGAAGAGTGAGGAATGAAAACCTTTCAGTTATTTGCACAGTTAAACAGAAATGTTTTGAGTCTGGATTTAAACAGCGTCACAGAAGAGTCTGTCTCACATGTTCAGACTGTTCCAGGTTTTAGCTGCATGAACCTGAAACTCTGACTCCCCTTGTTTAGTCGTGACTCTGGGCACCAGCAGGAGGCCGGTCCCTGAGCTCCTCAGAGTGTGAGATGTTCATATGACACTAACATGTCACAGATGGACTTTGGTGCTCGGCCATGGAGACACTTGTACAAGCAGAGCTGCTTTAAAGTCTCTGAGCCACAGGAGCCAGTGCAGAGACCTGAGCACAGGACTTATGTGCTCGTACTTCCTAGTTCGAGTCAGGACCTGAGCTGCAGTTCGTTCTGGATGTTCTGGATGTTCTGGATGTTCTGGATGTTCTGGATGTTCTGGATGTTCT